GGGGTTTCACCGTGTTAGCCAGGATGGTCTCGATCTCCTGACCTCGTGATCCGCCCGTCTCGGCCTCCCAAAGTGCTGGGATTACAGGCTTGAGCCACCGCGCCCGGCCTATTATTCATTTTTGAGACAGGGCCTCGCTCTGTCACCTAGGCTAGGGTGCAGTGGCGTGTTGATGGCTCACTTTAGCCTCAAACTCCTAAGTTCAAACGATTCTCCTACCTCAACCTCCCGAGAAGCTGGGACTACAGGCACGTGTCACCATGCCTGGCTATTTTTTATAGAGACAGGGGGTCTTGCTATGTTGCCTAGGCTGGTCTCAAACTCCTGGCCTCAAGGCCTCTCACCTCTGCCTCCCAAGGTCCTGGGATTACAGGCATCTGCGACCGGCCTCTGGCCCCTTCTTGAGCTCTGTAACCAGCAGAGGCCACTGTGGCCACTGGGGCAGATCAAGGCAGGTGCTGGGACTCCACCAAGGCCCCTCCTGCCCACCCCACGGCAGCCCCACCACGAAGGCTGCTGCACACACCTGGTCCACATCACTTACCCTGAGTGTTGTGAGGTTTGGGAAACACCAAGTATTTTAATCACTTTTGGAGATGTTGGGGTCACCAGCCCCGGGCCAGGCAGTGACATCAAATTCTTAGATTCGATTGATGGGAGCCAGTGCCTGCTCAGAGGCGAGGTGAGGCTCACAGCCCGCCCACTGGGTGTCACAGCCTCCTGCCCTGGTGGGCGGTCACAAGGAAGGGGTTGAGGCAGGAACAGGGGTTGGGCTGGTGCGTACCTCCCCCCACCTCTGGACAGCTGCCCTGGGACCTCTGCTTGAACGCTGCCTCCTCCACGAAGCCCTCCAGGATTCTTCCAGGCTGAACAAGTCTTCGTCTGGGCTCCCCTGTCTGTCTGCCCTACTGTGTTGTGGCCCTCGCACTGCACTGGGCAGGGGGCCCATGCTGAGGGGCTCACCTGGACTGCGTGTTCTGCCCCCGTACCATCCCTGAGGGAAGCAGGGCACCTCTCTTTGAACCCAGGGAGCAAGGCCAGGCACCAGAGGCAGCCCCCGAGGGCTAAGGCAGCCGAGTGATAGGAGTAGACATCATGGAGGTCACAGTGGCCATAGCTGGGAGCAGTTGAGGGCCCCATGGAGGACAGCCCAGCACCCCAGGGCACAGGCCGTTTAGTGGGACATGTGCTCCGCCTTCCCAGAGATGGCCGTGCCTGCTGCAGGAACCCTGGCTCCGGGTCTCACTCCTGTCTGTCCTGCAGGCTGGCAGAATATTGGAGTTTTCATCTCAGGGGAACGTTAAACCCTGGCCCAGCCTGGCCTGCATCCCGGCACAGGAGGCCCTATGTCCAAGGCTGGGGCAGTGGGGGCAGCAGCCATCCACCCCCAGGCTCCATCCTACTCTTGGTGGCCAGCCTGGGTCATGGAGGTGGTGGCCACAGTAGGTGAACCACACAATCTCCCCACTCCACCTCACCCCACCTGCCACCCTCGGCGACTGGCACACTGTGGTCTCTCCTCAGGACCTGGAGGCCAGCGGACTGGGTGACAGGCCCCATGTGTGTGGGGGTTGAGGGGTGTCTGGGAACTGGTGGCTGGAGCCATAGGTGAGCCTGAGGGAAGGGGAGCAGCCCTGGCTGGAGAGGGCCCACAGCTGGCCTGCGGGCTGGGTGCAGGGATGACCACTTCCCACCAGCCCATCTTCCCCGACAGCCCTTGAGGCTGCAGTGGTCCATAGCCATGGAGCACAGCCACCAGCGGCCTCCAGACAGAGCAACTGACCATCAGCTGTGGACGTCCTGTCTGACGCAGGTCCTCCGGTGTGTTCTCAGCACTCGCGGTGTCCTGAGCACCATGCCCAGAGCCATATGGGCAACTTTACCTCCTGGCAGCTGCCCTGCACCCACGGAGGCTTGGGCGAGGGTGTGTGGAATGGGTGCCGCACCTTGAGCCCCAACAGGGCGGCCTGGAGGGCCCAGACTCACAGCAGTGAGTGCCCAGGGGTGCAGGGAGGAATCTCGAGAGGAGCTGAGGCTGGGTCAACTGTCTGCTGCGTGTGACGGACACCAGGGCCCTCCCAGGTCTGAGGTGGAGGCCCCTGCTGGGCCCCATCGGTCTTCTCAACTCCTGCAGTTGGAAAGTTGGAAGAAGTCAGTCGGATTGGGGCTTCCGGTGTGTCCCCAGCCTGAGCCCCCACTGGTCCTGAGCCCCCACGCCCCTCTCTGCCCCTCCAGGGTCCAGGTGGAGTTCTACGTCAACGAGAACACCTTCAAGGAGCGGCTCAAGCTGTTCTTCATCAAAAACCAAAGATCGAGTGAGTGGGGTGCCTGGAGGGCCACTCCCAGGCAGGGAGGTGCTGAGGGCGCTGGGAGCAAGGCTGGCAATGGCAAAGGCTGGGGCTGTGAGCTCAGGGAAGAGTCCATGGGGTGGGAGCCGCCTGAGTGCTACAGGCGGATTTGGAAGCAGGGTCGGGGTTGGGGTGCATGGTGAGTGGGGCACCGGGTCGCCCCCTCTTAGCTTCACACTGTCTGAAACCAGGGCCTCTCTAGCGGGACCCATGGGGACACTGCCCTGCCTGCTGGACACCGGGCTGGGTGGGGCAGGACCATCCACAGGTGCCCGCAAGGTCTCGCCTGTGGACACGCCCTGCCTCCCACCCCTCCATACAGCCCCACCTTCCCCAACAGCTCCCTGCCCCGTTCCCAGCCAGAGCTTGGCCTCATGGCCCCCTAAGGGATGCAGGGTGAGCAGGGGCTCCACATTCACCTACCTGCTCCCCAATCCTCATCCTGACCCCCAAGAAGTGGAGTGGCCTCTAGAAATCCCCTGCACCCCACGTTCAGGCACCTGTAAGGTGGGGCCAGGGACGGAGCCTCTCAGAGGCTGACCCGGGAGCACCGGCCCCCAAGCAATGCAGGGCTCTGGGTGCAGCCGGGTGTGGGAGGGGAGCCCAGCTGGGGCCATCCAGAGAGCCCAGCCAGACCCAGGGGCAGGCCCTGCTCCCCGAAGCCCAGGACTGGGTCAGAGCCCTGAGGCCACTGCCTTCCCCGCAGGCCTGAGGATCCGGCTGTTCAACTTCTCCCTGAAGCTCCTCACCTGCCTGCTCTACATCGTGCGCGTCCTGCTCGACGACCCGGCCCTGGGCATCGGATGGTGGGCCACCTGCGCGGCTGGGCGAGGGGTTGTGGGTCCCAGGGCTGAGCCTTCCTGCTGGGCCATTACAGAGGCTGATGGCGTCCCTGAGGGAGCTCCTGTGCCCAGGGCCTTGGGGAGTCCTTCCTTCTCCAGCGCCTGTCCCAGGATGGAAAAAGCCAAGGACTCAGTGCCCAGGCTCCCGCAGATGGCTCAGCATAGGGAGAAAGGTCCCCATCGTAGACTTCCAGCTGTGCCCTTAGCTGCTAGTGGACCCCAGAAGGTCCACGGAAAGGCCGGAGCATCTAGGAAGCCCCTCCCTGCCCCCACAAGTGTCTTCGTGCTCACTTGAGCTTCTGCAGGTCAGGGAAGGGGGCGCCCAGCCCCCCGGGGAAAGCCCTACCTGTTTCTGGGGGTGTCTTCTACCCCTCCTGGGTCCTAAGGAGTCCCCTTCCCGGGGCCCATCGTCCTGGGGCCAATGCTCCAGGGACTTCCGGGAGAGGTGCTCGGGCAGCCGTGTGCACTGTCAGGTCCTCACCAGCCTCGCAGCAGCCACCATGAGGGTGCATGGGAACTTGCTCGCTGAGTCCTGTTCCGTCTCCTCCTGCTGTTGCTGCTTCGAGAAGTGGCAGCTGCTGGGACCTACTCTGTGCCCAGGGCGCCTTGGTGACTCCTGCTCCCTCTGTGTGGGTCCCAGGGGGACATCAGCAGGGCTCCATGGCCCTCAGTGCCGGATTGTCCTGAGTCATGTCTTTGGGGACCAGCCCCCAACCCCAGGCCTCTCGCTCTGGCTCCCTGGCACTTGGATGCTGTGCTCTGTGTCCTGTTTCTTCTGTCCCCTCTCCTGCCTCGTTCCCTCGTTCACTTGTTCTGTCCTGCTTCCTGGTTTACAGAAATCCTTCCTCTGAATGTCCTTCCGAGGATGGCATCTCCAGTCCTTTCCTGTTTTACAGTTTCCCCATCTGCTGGGCCTGTTTCTCCCGAGCTCACATTGGGCCCTGATTTTTTCATACCCGTAATCACCTCAAATGTCTGGTGCTGTTTATGCATAAGAGTGCTCAGGCGCTGAGGGGCTCTGCAGCCACATGTGTGGTGTGGTTGTCACCATCCAGCCATCGGGGTGAACCCTGCCAGGATGTTGGTCCCCTCTCTGGCTGCGCAGAGCAGGTTCTTCCCTGGAGAGGAAGGCCTGACTGCCGGGAGCCTGGCTTCTGGGGGCCTAAAGGTGTGCATGTGAACTTTTGCTCAATCCCCTTTTCACCTGTTACTTCATCACGGGGTGTCTGGCATCCCCAGGCCAGAGACTTACCCTCTCCTAAGAATCAACCTTCTGTCTTTGTCTAGGTCGGAAGAGGGCAGAACCCACTAGGATAGTTTGAGAAGGAGAACTGGGCCCTAACTGACTTTCAGGCTACTTTCCTGGGTCACCCCCCACCCCAAGTCCCAGGGGCCCCGGGGCTTCTGGTTTCACCTCCCCACAGGGCACGAGTCTGTTATGTTCACTGCCCATGAACATAACATAGGGCAGACAGCGAGGGTACATCCCTCATCTGTGGGATTGGGGGTAGCCCCGACTCAACAGCAACACACTGGTTCTGCCTGTGTTGACAACAGGCTCCCAGGGAGGGGC